ATTCATATTATTAAAAATAAAATTAATTTTTTACGTAACATGTATCACATGATTTAATCAAAAATTCAATTTTTTACGGATATCTCGACTCGGTATAGCGGATAAATTTCCTGGAACAAACATACCCGTTATACCGAGACTCACTGTGTAATACTAAATTAATAAAAATAAGGTTATAAAAATAGAAATAACTAAAATATAATAATAATAAAATTAAGAATTTCGGAATTAGTAAAAGAGCATCCAAATATAATTCCGGTAACATTTTATGCAATACATTTGATGTTTATAATTGACATAACAAACAATTGCATCACCAAGGTAAGGTTGCTTGCCGAAACCTCTTAGTGACTGTCGAAACTCCGTCGAAACTCTAATGAACAACTCACCGACATTGGTACATATGCTTATACCTTTTTCAGTTAATCCATTGTTGTAATAAGGCCAACTTTTAAATATCCATTTATCTGATAACCACTAAAACTATCCACAAGATTAAACATAATATATACTGCAGTAGCAGAAACAGAAGCAGCATTCGCATCAGAATTGGAAGCTTCTTCTAATAATAAAAGAATGCCTTCATTTACTGATAAACTATTGATAGGAAGCTTTCTCCAAATTCAACTCCTCCCCGCCAAGATCCATGTCAGGAATAATAATGCCGCCTTTTTCAATATATCATTGTGCTGAATAGTTTGCGCATCTGCTGTATTAATTGTTCCTGTTGTGCTATAATGCAATTTGATGGTCTTTACACTAGCTTCACATATGCTAGCGTAGCTTTACAAAGTTTATTCAAACCGTCTTATAGTAGTATGTTCAGCATTCAGCAATTAACACCAACTATATTTCTGCGACATTGTCTATTAGACAATAACTTCCAAGTAGTTTTCTGAACCAACAATTTTTGTGTCTTTAAAAGTAACTTGAGAATTACAGACTCAAAAAAGGCCCCACTTGTTGTCACATTTAATTCTTAAATAAGAAGAGCTAAATATACCTGATATTTCTTGTCGAAAGATTAGCCAATTGGTATCAATCATCAATCGGATCTGTAATATAGTTGTTTGCCGTAATTATTTTTGGAGGAAAAGTGATTATTGCAATAATTACGGGTTTTCAAAATTCCTTATATGAATAAACATAAAATAATTATATGCTAATACGCCATTTGACTTAAATAGTTCAAATAATTATGGATATGATATGATTAGTTATTATGAAGGGAAATTATAATCTATGTCTGATAAATTATGATAGTGATGATGTTAATAAACATTTTGTCTATCCAAGTGAATGTTTCAACATAACATTTTCCATAAGATTTGTTGAGTGATAACTGGAATATGGTTGCAGCTGCACGCCTTGAGTTGCCCAGCTAAAACTCTCGTCAGCCTTTAATTTGGCTATACATCGCAATCTATAACCATTATGCCAACAATTTCATGGACTTGTTGCTAAACCCACCATAAAATCATGAAATATTATCATTACTAGTAGCTTTCAGCAAACAATATCTCATGCATTGTTACTAAGGTTGTTTGCTGAAACCTCTTAATGGCTATCGAAACTCTTCCAAAACTCTGATAAACGATTAGTGTGCACCTTGCTGAAACTCTGTCAATTGCTAAAACCCTCAAACGCGAATCTCTGCCGAAACTCTAACAAACAATTAGTTTGTAATCTGCCAAAGCTCTGCTGATTGATTTCTGGAGAATTTTTGGCAAGAAATCATAATTGTTACTGTGTGTTTTGTTAAAGTCAATTGCATATTATTCATCAACATGCAACCTACCTTTCATTCCTGGACATCACATATCCTAATTATTGTTAGCTCCTTCAGAGAAATGTACCACTGAATAATGCACCTGACTCAATAACATCTGTTTCAACAGATGCTATATTGTATGTTGCTGGAGATGTATGAATACCAAGTAGTGTAATAGCTTATATTCCAAATAACTCTATTAAAGATATTCCAAGAAGTAAAGTTTATTACATTTATATAATACCACATTCCATAACTTAAAACGGATTGGCTACTTGCTAAGCAGGCTCACCTTACTTAAAGTTATCCACTCTAAAACTGTCATTCCATTATTAGTATTGTTATGCCCCAGTAATAATTGGTAAAGACTTTTAAAAATACCAATAATTGATCAACACCCAATACAACTAAAAATATAATTTTTAAAAAGGAAATAATTAATGTATCATCATTTTTTAGTGGCTTATTTGACAATCCATCCATAAATGAGCAGGGATCAGCGGAAGGGAAAATGTCAGAATTGATAGCTTTGTATAAAAAAATCTTAAAATACTTTAGTACTATAAAATAATTTTTTTTTGTTTTGCATTATGGAACAGATGTCAAAGAACATATCCATACATTTTTTTTAATAAGACTATCAAAAAGAAAGAGTTTGCTCTTATGGATGTATATAGAGATGAGTGAGATTTTTCATATTAATTTTATAAAAAAGTTTTTTATGTTTGTGCAACTTATTAAAATGTCAGCAGCACAAATGAGTGTATAATTATTTTTAATTGAGGTTACTATTCATAATTAATTTTAGTGTTCAATTACATCAAATGATTAAGCTTTTATTCAAATAAAACTCTGAAACTGTTTTAAACTATAAAACCATTTAAATTTTCAAATCATTTTCAAAGCTTCAACTTTTAAAAAAACGAATATGATGGATACTTTCGCAGATCACTCTATATTTTCGCCGTTTTTGATAGTAAAAGGATCGATATTTTACTCATTTATAGACGGATCATCCATCAATTAAAGATTTATTTAAAGTTTTGTGGTTATTATTTATTAATAAAATAAAAAAATAAAAAATATTCATTTACATTAACTAAATAAGTGATACAAGGGGTATTAAGGGGCGGGAAGCTTTGAATTTATCACATGAACAAAATTTTAGCCAATAAGATTTATGAAGATCATCGTGATACGAGCTGACTAAGAGTTTTAGCAATAAAATTTGGCTAGGTGAGAAAATACCACTGAAAGTATCTTGACCAATTATTTTCATCCTAATGAGCAGATACCATTTCTGGAAAGTTAGTTAATGGCTTTTCTGTCGTCCACCGTAGCACCAATGTATCCATTCCAACTATTAATTATTATTTGTAAAAATTTTCTTTATCTGCTCTCCTCAAGAAACGAGATCACAGAAGAAATGAGAGATATCCAACGTATATATGCCACCTTCAACAAATGGGCATATAGAATGTAAATATAAAGATTTTTTTTCAACATTCCATTTATTTTTATCTATCTATCTATCTATTTATTTATTTATTTATTAATTTATCTATCTATTTATTTATTTATTTATTTGTTTGTTTGTTTGTTTGTTTGTTTGTTTGTTTTTCTTTCAAGACTTGAATTCTAGTTATCCTTAAATCCTGAAAAGCGAATCCGACTCTCTTGTCCACTAAGATAAGATGCAACGGAAATTTGGGGTGTAATAGGGAGGCTCCAATTTCCATTGGGTTGCATTTCGAAGTCAATTCAAGGTGCTTCTCCCGTGTAGCGAATTGTCCCTGGACTAAAGCATATGACTTAGTCACAGGATAACAAGGGTGCACGTATTTACGTGTACTGTGCTTGCACGGGCGGATAAAGGATAATTCTGTTAAATCTGACACTAAAAAAATAAAATCAGATTTATTCAATTTTTTAATTATTAAATTATGCGTGGCTCTAGTATATCATCCTTTCTTTAAGGTGACTAGGGTGAGGCAATTGATTTACTGTATCAAATATAATAAATATTTTTGAGGTTTCCGGAACAAAATTCATCATTTTCAACTGTTTTTGTTGCACTTTATATCCACTACCCGTTTGCAAACGCAATCTCATAGCAAAAGCAAACTTTTACCTTTGTGTAGAAACCACATAGTCATTAGCGATTTAATTCCGTTGAGACGTGTCTGCCCGAAGTATCCCAAATGAAAATATAACTTTTTTAACGATAATCTGTGAAGCACGTAGCGCCGTGACGACCAACGTATCTGGAAACCCAAACAGAAGTCACGTAATACTGCGACCGTTCCCAGGACGGGTACAAGAACACGAAAAATAATTCCGTGAAGCAAATAGTGCCGTGACGACCAATGGGAATCTGAACAAAATACAAATATGTGAGAGCAGGTATCAAGTGAACACGATCCCGCGTATTTATGCTGTGCAGTTTTTTTTTCTTTTGACTTTATTAATTTTTTTTTTTTTGCTTTATAAATATCTTTTCCGATGGTATTTGGTGACAAACTTGATGGGTTTGACAAATTGCTCGGCAAACTTGACATATTGTTGTTCAACGTATTAATATCATTACTTGACAAATCGTACGGCACGGCAAATTTGGTTCAATGATAATAAACCTCCCAAAATAACACAAGGAGTCGTATCTGATGTCGAGTATACCATGAAAAATATTTGGAACAAACACCACATATATACTCTTTTTGGGATGACATTTTTGGAAGAGTAAATCATGGTTGGGTCACATTGACTAAGATATCTGGGAATATACAACATTTGTAGCATTGATTATAATTTAGACATATAATGTTAAAACATCGGTAACATTTTTTACAACTTCATTGACAGTGTTTACAACTAAGGTTGGGTGACAAAACGTCTCCTTTTCGTCATACGCAGAAAATAAATCTGACGAGATAAGATTTCTACACTTTAAGGTGACAAAATGACAATTATTTTGTGAATTATATCTTGGTTCAGAAGTATATTGGCTGTATAGGTAATTGATTGTTTAAATCCATGGTGCCAAATTCTAATTTACCAATTCCTCTGAAATGCGGTTTCATAGTTGTTTAGAATTGAACTAATGATTTATTTAACAACAATCAAGGATTGGCTCGGGACATTCTTGTCTGATGTATGTTTACATTACTCGGCATCTTGCAAATATTGCACAAAAATCTGGAATCGTGAAACATCAAGGCTCATTTAGTTAATAAATGTACTGGATGTCATTATCCTATCTCTCGTTTTTATTTGGATGAAGTAACAATCAATAAATCAAGGAAATAAACAAAACAAATGGCCCAAACTCTTTTGTCAAACTTTTATGAAAGCACATATTTATTATTTCCTGTAGGAGATCTTTCTCACAGTAGTCACACGTGTCAGTTCTTGATGAAAAAATCTTGATGAAATCAGATCACAAAAATTCGTGGCTATAGTAACTGAGTTAGCTAGAGAAATAGTTTCCCTCGTATATTTAATCTTAGGCGTATTGCTCACCGCTTCTAAGGGTTTCATCGTGTAATCGAATAATTAAGTTTTAAAAAATCATATCAAGATTATTAATAATTATAATATTGTTGGTAGAGGGTTAAAAAATATTTGTCAAACTCGGCGGACATCAGTCTATGACACTTTATCATAGATTGCACGTTTATAATCATGCTTTATTTCAAATCTAATTAAGGGATATAATTTTTTAATAGAGCGTTCAAAAATATTTTCAATGAGAGATTCTTGCAATCAGAAAACACAAATTTTGCAAATTTCTATCTAGATCTTGTTGAGTTGGCTGTTGTAGAAAATTCTGTACTAATAAATTTAATTTATGTTGGAAGTAATTTAATCATGCAAGATATTTATTTATTAGAAATATTTCTTATAAAGAAATTTGAATCAATTTCAAAAAAATCTCATTATGTTTTTGTCAAAATTTAAAATGTGATTATTAATGATACTTTTAACTTTGTTCTTTGACGTGATTAAGTATCGACTAAAAGTAGTTTTTTAACTTTTGAACCCTTGACAAAAGTAAAAAAATCTTGACGCATAGATTATTTTCACGTGACAAAACTTTACCATGTGACTCCAAGATATATAACTAGGTTTATCATCTGAACTTTATGCTAATTTTTTTAACAAAATAGTTATAGAAGAATTGTTTTTTTAAAAATCAAGATACGCGTATACTCAAACCGCATCCGAGTATAAGTTATATCTGTTCAGGAGTGAAACCAATCGTGATGCTAAATGATCCAGTCCCAGTTGGGCGGCATTGGCACAATAATCAGTAGATTGTGATCAAGCAATAAAATATTACTTTACGATACAGTGTCCAGCATTGAAATTTGTAAAAGTATTTTGATGTGGTATTGATAATGACGATTTCGTTTCTGAAATAACGATAGAAACGGGTCCACCAAATTTGATTCGGCGGCGCTGTACTATCAAACAATTGTGCTGCTACTTGCTTATTTTATTATATGGAGGAAGTGAAAAAAGATATTTCAAATTAAATTGAAAATTGAAAATTGTGAAGAGGAATTTATTCAATCAAAAATAATTATTAGTGTCGTATTATTTAAACATTAATATGGTGTAAGATTGGTATCATAATTGTTTTTGAATTGTTTCGCTTTCAATTATATACAAATCTATAAACAAAGAAAGAAACACGTATAAGAACCATTATAAAAATATAATAATAGAGACGGATAAAATTAAAACATTATGCAAAAAAATAATCTGAACTATTTCTATTGACAAAAATGACAAATGGTAAATAAGGCAATTACAAAAAAGATAAGACTTGTACGATAACTTTGGCGTCGATCTTGTGATCACAATATTTAACCAAGGATTGAGATTAAAAGTACAGTATTTAATAATGAATATTATTTCTTATGATGATTTAAATGATATTGAAAAGATTGGTAGATGGAGTGGATTTGCGACTATATATAGAGCTAGCTACTTGTATAAATGTCAGAGATGTTGCAATATTTCCGATGGGACGTCAAGACTTTTTTGGTTATTTTATTAATGATAATTCATAGTTTAAAAATTATGTAAATTAACTGATATTACAAAGAATATCTCAATATATTTGTAATGAAATATTTAATGATGGAACCTTCAAAATTATTTATCAAAAATTAAAGTTGAGCCGAGAATGTTTTTAGAGCGCTGCGCAGTTACACCTGAAGTTAAAAGACCAAAAATAAATATCAAACATATTATATTGATGTCAGCAGTGTCATCAGGTCAATGACCATGTAGCAATATTGCACACGGTACAGGTCTTGTAATGAAGGTATGTCCAAAACTTTGTATGGAATTAGCATAGATGCTTCAAATCCGAATAAATGGCCAACTGCTGGAAAAATATTAAATATTGATGTATTTCCAGCAAGATAGTATTACTACTAATAATGGCAATTATCAAAGATACTAAATTAATATCTTTTATGATAACATATTTATTTGACTGATCGGTATTAAAGCATTTTTCATATTGAATAAATAACTGATGACGGTAATAATATGTATTATTTGATTTTTATTTATTTAAATAAATCCAATCTAGATGAAAATTAATAAAATTTTAATTAATAAATTGTTAATAATAATAAATTAAAATCAATGATGAATATATATGAGAAAAAATAGAAACCTTATTAGCAACATCTAAAGCTTCAACGTCACTTGTAAGACGCACATAAGCCTTCTTAGTTCCATCAGGTCTGATAATAAAAGATTAATATTAATATGTTTTCATATTTGAATAAAAAAAATTTTAAATCAGAATCTCAGCTCACCTTATCAATGTATTAATTTTTTGAGCATCTACATCATACATCTTTTTAACTGCATCTTTAATTTGACGTTTGTTCGCTCTAGTATCAACAATAAAAACCAATGTATTTGTATCCTCAATTTTTTTCATTGCTGATTCGGTGTTTAATGGGTTTTTTAAAATCTTGAATTTATCTAGCCGTGCTACATGCGGAACGGACTTGCGAGGATATTTTGGATCTCGTGAAAGTCGAAGAGTTTTAGGACGATGAAAAGTTGTTGAGGTACGAATTTTTTTTGCGATTTTGCCATTAACTCCTTTTGTTGCTGCTTTCTTGGCTGCAAGAGCTTTAGTTTTTTCCTTGGGCTTTACCTTTTTCTTATCTTTACTTTTACTTTTGGCTTTTTCTTTATTTTTATTATCTTTGGTTTTATTGTTCTCTTTGGAAGAAGAGTCTCCACCACTAGTTGCAGTAGCAGTTTCCTTTTTAGTTTTTTCAGTTGCTGTTAACAAAAAAAGAGGTTTTTGTGTGTGTGTAAATATAAGCAATATGAATATTTAACCAAATGTATACCTTTTAACAATTATCAATTAATTATCAATTGTCATTACATTTTTGTTTCAATTGATTATTTTTTTATTACTTGCCTGTTTTTTCTGTTTTCTCTACTTTTTTAGGTGCCATTTTTTATTTTTTTTTTTAAAAAAAAATTTTTTTCAAAAAAAATTTAGATCTTCAAATATTTTTATTTGGGTGTGTGTAACAAGATCGTCACATATAGATTACGTGAATCAGACCGAGCTTTTTTTTAGAAAAAAGGTCAACTTTATTCTTATATAACATAATCGTTAAATAAACATGGTGTCAAGAGTAGAACTGCCCAAAGGAGGATTTAGCTTTGAAAATTATCAAAGGTTAATGTTTGGAATTTTATTCAAATAATGTTTGATTTTAAGGAAGGGCCAACTAAAAAATTCATACATGTAAAATAAAATAAAATCCATTCATTTTATATAAAGAAATCTTGCTTTAGAAAAAAAAGGTCTCACTTTGCCCAAACCATTAAAAACTGGTACTACAATTGCTGGCTTGGTTTTCAAGGTACTCATTGATTCTCTCAACTAGTTAAAAGACAACTTATAAACAAATTAATTTATTTTTAAAAAAAAAAATTTTATTCCATAAGGATGGAGTTGTCCTTGGAGCCGACACACGTGCAACAAATGGAACAATTATAGCAGATAAAAACTGTGTCAAAATTCATTATGTTGCTCCAAACATTTATTGTTGCGGTGCTGGTACAGCTGCTGACACCGCATTTGCCACTGATTTGATAAGTTCTCAAATGGAATTACATCGTTTAACAACTGGAAGACAATCTAGAATAGTTACTGCTATGACTATGTTGAAACAGATGCTTTTTAGGTTGGCTTTATGTCATTAATCGATAATAATTTTTTGTTAGTTTACTTTTTAAAATTTAAATATATCTTTCCATTTTTGTAATTCTAAATTAAACTAGACATCAAGGTCATATTGGTGCCGCATTGATACTTGGTGGTGTTGATGTATCGGGTTCTCAATTATTTACTATATATCCACATGGAAGTACAGACAAACTACCATATGTAACAATGGGCAGTGGTTCATTGGCTGCAATGTCAATTCTTGAAAGCAGATGGGAAAAGGATTTGGAGGTTCTTTTCACTCATTATTATTATTATCATTATTATTGTTATTAAAGGAAGAAGAAAAAGAAGAAGAAGAAGAAGTTAATTAGAAAATTTTTATTTTCTTAATAGAGACAAGATGCAATCACTCTTGTTAGTGATGCTATTGAAGCTGGTATATTTAATGATTTAGGTTCTGGATCAAGTATTGATATAACAGTCATTGAAAAAGATAATAAAGTAGAAATATTTCAGCATTATGCAAGTCCAAATCAACGTCCACCAAAAGAACAGAATTATAAATTTAAACATGGCACTACAGGTGTGTATCTGACTAATAATACAATCACCTATATACATTTAAAATAATTTTTATTATATTTCAACTAAATTTTTATGATATCATTATTATTAGCTCTTCTTAAAGAATCAGTTCGTAATTTTTTGGTTGTCTCAGATGTTAATACTACAGAAAATGTTGACGCTATGGATATTTCATAATAATGGAATATATACAAATTCTTATAAATTGTGTATATTAATTAAATAATAAAAATTGCGACATTCTAAGAAAATCAAAACTCATTAATGTCATATATTGATCGGTTATATGTGATTTTTTTTGTGATCTGCATATTAATATCACATACAGGATTTCCGAAATTTACGTAAAGAACATAGTAAACATATTAATATTGTTTTCAAACCACAACCCCAATGGATGATGTATTTGCAAATAAGAATTTTGTAAATTAATAACAGTATTGTGAAGCCTATTATTATTATTATTATTATTATTATTACTTTATTAAACCATTGAATATGTTTTTTTTTTTAAATAATTACAATTAAACTACTTAAATGAACAATGGGCAAAAGTATCTTTAACAAATAAATACAATTTTAATAGTTATTCATTTAATGTCAGATTATTTATGTGACAACAAAATTGGGTATTATAAAATGGGCAGCAGTAATACTTGTTAGACTTTAAAAAAAAAAAAAGAGAACAAAAAAGAAAAAAAATTTGAAGTTTGGCATTATGATTGCAATTATTGCAATTGATAATCGCCAATTGCCTATTAAATAAGTATTAAAACAAATTAGTATAATAATAAGAAATCATCAAAGCATATAAACTTTTTTTAATACTATACCACAGAATTCACCATGGGATTTAATTCATGATGCTCCGTTGAATCGACATGAGCAACAACAGTAATATAAAAGGATTTTTCAAGTTTGTACACAGTATCACCGTGGTAATAATTAGCAATTGCAGTAATTTCACAACTTTGAGAATTCATATCAGGTGTACCAGTAAGAATATTATTTTCCCATCTAAGCCAATCAGGCAACCAAGTTGAGTGAAAAACAGCCTTAATAGCTAATAAATAATAAACATATAAAATATTAATATGGTTAATAATATTATTATTTTCATAATTTGATCAATTACTTACACTTTATATTAACTTGTGGATCCCAAACTCGAGGGGAATAAGTGTATTTGGCTCCAACATATGCAACTTTATTTGGAATACCTGCTATTTTACGTGTAAACTCACGGAATACCCATCCACCAGCAGGTGTTTTTTTAGCTTCAATATTCCAAACATGATTTCCCTTAGATTTGGCTTTCTTTCCATCTTCATTAAATCTTGAAATATATCTGAAAAAATGATAATAAACAATTGTTCCGAGTAATCATCATAATCTTTATGAAATTAAATAACCAACCGTTGTGTCCACAAGTAATTTTTTACTTTTCTCATTGGTAAAACTTCTTCAGTATATCCATTATGAAGTAATTCTTCGTGAAACGCATTTGTAAACGCTTGAATTCTAAACTTAAATGGGCGAAAATCTGGTGATTCACTTAATTTTTGCATTTTCTTTGCCATTAAAGTTTGATGACTATCAAAAAAAATACAGTAAATTAAATTATTATTTTTTAAAAAAAAAAAAACAAATTACACAAAATATATAAAATATATACATTTGTTCTCCTTTAGAATCTCTGGCATCCACTTAAAAATGTTAATTGATTAATAATATTGTTAGTTGATAAAAATAAAATCAAAATAGAATAATAAACAAAATAAAAATAATAATATATATATATACAATTTGAACAAATATTTTGTAAGAATGTGACGAAAATTTCATCCAAATTCCTTAGTAAATTAGGGTCTAATGGTGCATGTGAATGAGTTCTAGGTGGACTTGGAATCAAATCTCCAGATGAAGTGTAAATTGGTTGTTGATGCTAGTAATACATAAATATATAATTATATAATAAATATATAACATATATATATTTTGGGAAATAATCGATCAAATGTATTAAATTATGTACATTCACAGAATATACTTCACTAGTAATAGTGGGCGTATCTTCAGCATTGGATTTTATTGTTTTTCGAGATTTTTCAAAATTAGAATCATGAGGTCTCTAAATAAAAATAATAATGATAAATGATAATAGTAATATTATTATTATTGATATTATTATTAAGGTATTTAAATAAATAATTAATAAAATCAAACCTTGGTAGATTTGGCGGGTGTAGATGTTGATGCGATTGAAGATTGTTGAGGATTAACGTCATGCTAATACATATTTGTATTTATATTGAAAATTGTCAAAATATGCCCTGTATATATTTTTCTATAATAATGATAATTTTATTATCTACAAAAAAAAAGTTACCAATGCATCGACACTTGATTTAAAATCTTTTAGTACTGTGATAGTTTTGGATATAACTTCAAGTCTGTCAAAAGCCTCTCCGTCAAAACCGCGTTCGAATTGATCCCGTGCGTCTTGTGCATTTCCTACAATACTACAATGAAAATAAGTTAAACGAATTTCCGTCAATCACTTAACCGTATATATGCGGTTTGAATTTCACGCTCTTTAATCAAACTTTATACTACAAGTGAAGCATTGTGTACATTGTAATAATAATTCAAAAGTGCTAGTTTCCACGACTAATGATAAATAATATTATTCATTCTAAAAAAATTTTATTATACCTTCCAAAAAGCTGGGTCAAATCCATTTTCATATTGTTGCTTTATGGAGTAGGGTGTAAGGTCTTTTAGGGTGAGGGTATATTTTTTTTATTTTTATTTTTATTATTTATTTTATTTCAAAAGAAGGTTTCTTTTGAATGAGGGTGGTTTAAAGGAAAAAAAAGAAAATTTTAATGCATTAATGGGTACACGGAATATAATGTTAATTGACCAATAAAAAAAACTTGATACAAATAAATAAATTGTTGGCTCTTGCACATGACCTTCGTTTGATCATATCTCTCAATCTATTGATTAATACACACAGGCAAACCCCGTTAAAGTGAAAATTTTTTAATATAAACTAAAACCGTAGTTTTTTTACTTTTTTAATCCGTAGACCCCGTTAAAACCATAAATATTTCTATTCAATTTTACCCCAATAATCCGAATTTTTATTTTAACCAATCAGATACTGATCTTCAATTTTTGAAATTGAACCGAAGAAAAGTGGCTGCACAAACGCCTTCGGATTGACTATGTAACTGCAGTCTCTACTTCTGACACTATTTAAGATTCGTATTTAACGGAAAACAAAATTCTCCATAACTTGAACTTTATTTTATCGATTTTGCTCATAAAAACATATTTTAGGTTCATTTGGAATGAGCATTCTTAAGTTTTCACAGTCTTTTAAGTATATGCTTTTCAAATTTAATTTTAAAGAAATCAGTAAAACAATAATATCTCATATTAATCATCATTATATCATGCTCTTGTTCTTTTAAAGAGTTTGTAGGTTAACATCATGAGTATACATGAAGTCGAAATAGGGTCGAAATAAGGTCGAAACTGTTTTTTACTATATAGTTGCCTCATGTATAATCATGAGGTTGATTGTGGCTTCTTGGTGTCTACCCAATTTTTCTACTACCTATATTTTTATAAAATTATTAGTGAATCATTTGATTTTTGACAATAATAATAAAATTTACATTGGCTAAAGAATGAATACACATTTTTTAGGATTAATGACTATAGCTTTTCTATAATGTAATTCGGGAATTTCAATTTGACCAAATGTTTCATAATAATAGCTAATATAGACATGCATTTTTGTAAATAAAAGAGATTATGATGGATTATAAGGCAGAAAATCTATCAAAAAGAAATTAATGATACCTATAGTGCATTCGTTCATTGGCATGCAAAGCTTTCCTAAAATATTCTATATACAGCATTGTTAACATCACCCACCATTCACCATGGATTCATGACCGGGCAAAGTATATGCATAGGTAAATGACAAGTCTTGCCGTATTACTTGACCAAAGGCTTTCAATGCTAAATTATATTTTTGTTATATCACACCATGCTTGTGGCGATGAACATTCAAAATCTGAAAGTTCGTGAGCAAGTACACCTTTACATGAATGCCAAAGTGTGGTATAGCATATCTCCATATCTTCATGTTTATTAAGGTTCTAATTGAAGCACTTTTTAAAAACTGTTTTCTGCTTATATATTATTACATTACAGCGCACCCATCCAATATTTATTTGAGAAGCGAGGAATTCTAAGAAAGTCTCAATCAATAGAGAAGATTCATACTGATTTAAAAATGAAATAACTTCTGGCCGATTTTGATTATATCCATAACTTCTTTAAGATTTAATTCCTATTTTTTTAAATAATATTATTGGATTGGGGAAAACCTCCAAGAATTGACCCGGCTGCAGCAGCAACTTATCTCATTATTTTTATAACATCCAAAATAAAACTGTGCCATCATAGCTCCTCTCTCGTATTGATGCAGGTTCTCTGTGTAAAGCTATAATTATTCAAAAACAGAATTACTTTGCTTCAAAGCCAAAATTTTTATCCAATATTACCTTTATAAACTTGAGTGGTTGAAAAGATGGAAAGTTTTCATGGGTATAGCATAGCAAAAAACGAGAAGGAAAAAATGTGGGGCAGGAGATCATCAGGAGTAACGACCTAAAAGAGATAATTAATTTCCAAAGGTGGTAATTTGGTTGACACCAAGATTTTACTAATAAGTCCCGAAAAATCTGTGCCAGACACAAATTTTAAGGTTTGTGGCTAAATTTAATAAAATTCGACATCAGGACATCAGCTTTCAGGGGGTCAATTGTATGATCGACAATTAATACTAATACTATAATACTATTACTATCTACACCTAAAAAAATTTTGGGGGTATAGCTAATAAAAAATCTGGAGTGTATGAAGACATTTACAGCAGAATTGAAAAGAAAATCTTGCTTTGAATTCCTTTTGTTATAAAAAAATATTCATTAGAAAGCTTCAATGGCGCGGTTTTAATAATGAAGTTTATCTTTATTATGAAAATAATGGGATATTTTTAAAAAACGGGTTGTTTAATTTTTATGGCAATGTCCAGCGAAAACATAAAATCAAATATTTAAAAAATAGAGCTTTTCACCAGATACAATTAGGATAATAGAATAAGAATAACCGAATTTAATCCTAGGATATTACCCATTCAAGGAAAGCTCTATTAAAAAGAAATAATGCATGACACGGCCTATTTATTTTTGTCAAAATCAAAATTCCTATGTACAATGCTGTCAAGATTGGTTTTATTTCCTAATGTACTTAAACTAGAAGGCTTCCATAAAAAAAACATGTAGTAAGCCAATTACACGTTTCTTTGCTTCAAATTGTCATATTTTGCCATGTATCCATTGTCATTCATTATTATAGAATCTTTGGCACCATCAAATATCATTTGATGAGAAAAACGATAATGCCATTGATATTGATCTATTCGAATTTGCCAACAATCTAAATGCACTCAACATTGCTTTTCGTAAAATTTTTGAGCTTTAAGGTAAACGGTTAATGAAATGGTAGTTTTTCTGGAAAGAAGAATGCTAAAAAACAGGCATAAAAACTTTTTTTTTTTTACCTGATGTGAAGATAAATATCATCATCATTTGTACTTATTGATGGAAAGATCATGGAAAACTAAATCTCCAAATAAAAGGAAGCTGAACGACGTGCAGAGTGCTGTTGCGCATGAAATACATGTGCAATATTGAAAGATGCATCAGAATTTGTTCGTGGAGAGGTAATCCTGTTTTTTTTTTTTCTTTCCATCCATAAGAAAAGATAAATCCATTGTTTTTATGGAAACGGTGGATAAAGACAAACAATGCAACAACTAATTTAAGTGTAAGCTATCATAATAATAATTCTTATTTAATTGATTGCATTAGAAATTTGTTTATTGTTATTTTGATTATATTTTATTTAAAGATACTATTTATTGAATTAAATTATTATTTCTATTAAATTGATTATTATTATTATTAACTCTATTACAACCAAGAGCAAAATGCCCAAGTTTGTTATATTTAAAACATAAAATTACAAATTACTATTAGAATGTCATTGGTTGTTATCATCAATTGAAGTTAATGTTAATGGAACCGAAATATTAATTTGCTTTGAATCATAAAATGCTAAACAAGATTTAAATAAGAGATTATTAGTTTATCAAGATTCGGGATGTTTTTTTTTTCTAGAAAAATAAATAAAAAAATAAAAGATAATTACATAAATTTTTGTACGAATAAACTTTGCTTATAAATTCATTTTCGTTATTATTAGATGTTGACGGTTTATACTCAGGTTTAAAGGTTTCATTATTCCATTCCTTATGATAAAATTTTTCCAACATCAATTTACAATATTTTAATATTTCATCAGCATTTGGTCTACTTTTTGGATCATTATCCCAACATTTAACCATCAAATCAATATATTGCTTTGGTATTCCAGGTATAATTGGAGGTCTTTCACCATCACAAATTCTAAATACTAAATCTGTATCGTGTTGAAAATTGCCGAAAGGTCTTGCTTCGTATGCCAACTCCCACATAATCATTCCTAAAGCATAAATATCAGATTTAATTGAATGATTTTCTCCTTTCAATAGTTCAGGTGCCATATATGGCATTACTCCAAAAACTTTCCCCTCGGATTCTCCATTAATCGCTGGTCCACTTAATCCCAGGTCACTAATGAAACATCCATTTAAATTATTCTCTAATAATACATTTCCTGAGTGCAAGTCTTTATGGACTATATTATTCTTGTGTATATTCTTTAGTGCGGAACAGACACGATTTAAAATCATAAATTTATTTTTCCATGTTAATGAATTTGGGTTGTTCTTTAGATAACTACCAAGATCGCCATTAACTTTATAACTTAAAACCAACATATATTCATCAGAGTTTACATCTTTAGTGATTCCAAAACACCATAATAATGAATTGGTTTTTAAAAATAAATTAAAATGAATTTCTGCCTTTTTTTTTTTTTTAAAGAAAAATATTATTGTTGATGTTATTATTGTTGTTGTTGTTTTATTATCATTATCATTATTATTATTATCTGTTTAACAAATAAATAAATACCTCGTTAAAAAAATCCTTATTAATAGTATGAGAATTTCCCAATGATTTTAAAATGATTTTTTTACGTCCACGTCTAAAAAAACATCGATCCTCTTGGTTCCAATCTGTAATAAAACCATTTATCCATTCAGCAATGTAGATTTTACCAAATCCTCCCTTTTTTAAATATTTAATATTTTTAAAATTCTTGTATGGTATCCATTCAAAAATTTTATTGGGCAAAATAGTTTTCATTTGGCAACTTTGTATAAACTTGTCAACTGCTTCATTTCCAGACGTCCAATTACCAAAATTATCATAAAGCGTGTTTCTAATACAAGTTGTACAATAAGTTAAAGATAATGTTTCTTTTTGGCATTTAGGACATATTTCTTTTGGTCCGTTTACATTATCCAATTTCTCAATTTCAAATGTTTTCTGTGTATATTTTATAACCCATTCTTTTTCTTTTTGTGTAAGTGTTTCATTTTTTTTTATAAATTGTAACGAAGAGGCTAGATTATAGTCATTTGTATGTTTAAATTCATTCTGAAATTCAATTATTAAATTCATTCTGAAATTCTCTTTTCCAATTTCAAGAGGATCCCTTGTATGTTGTAATTGATTATAAATTAGCATTAAATTTGATTGATGATTAATTAAATTAATTAGTACCTACAAGTTAAATTCATCCACAAGAAAATCTTCGCTCATTTTTTGCATTTTTGAAATTTATAAAAAAAAAAAATTATACCAATCTTACTTATTTATATAACCAATATTCGTTGATCACAATGATTTTAATTCTTTACTTTACTATTTTTAAATTAAAATCATAGTTTCACGCGTGTTATTTGTGGAATCGTAGGGTTTTCCGAGGTGTGACACTATTATCCAATCAAATTTTTTAAAATAATTTCTAAATTTACACTGGTTATACAAATTAATAATAAGAAAAACACGTATGACGAAATATTTTGAATCAACAAAAAAAATGTCACTTAATAATGATTTGACAGCAAAACTGGAAAAATTGGAACAAAAAATAACCTTGACTTTACAAGAGATCGATCACAACTTTTCCACATGTCATCATCGAGTGACTACAAAAATTTTACCACAAATAATGCGTTATGGAGAACTTTCTGAAGAAATTTTTAATAATTCTCAAGTAGGTTTTATCTTTAAAAAATTTTGGTTTTTCCACTCTCACACATACACAGACAGATTAATCGTTATTGTTTACATATATTTTATCATGTACAAGTATTGGTTGATGTTTTATAATCAGCTGAATTCAATAAAACCTAGAAATTCCATTTCTCTATCATCGGTTACTTCATCAACAAATCGAGATCAAATTAATAACAAATCATCATCTTCGCCATTATTATTAGCACAACCACCACTTTCAACAAAATTAAATCATTTAAATAATCAAGAAAAATTTCTTATTAATAATAATGACCCGCTATTATTATTCTCACAACAACTACAAAAACAAAGACTTTTAAATAATCGCGATTCTATTAATTCACTACCATCAAATATTTCATTGCCATTAATCAACAACAATATCTCGATCTCATCAACTCCATTATCAAATATTTCATTGCCATTAACCAATAACAATATCTCGATCTCATCAACTCCATTACCTGATCCTCCGCAATTTATGTATAGATTAATACAATCCACTTTATCTGATGCATCATCCTCTCCCTCTCCTTCTTCAAGTTCTTTTCCAAATATTGCATCTATCATCTTGGATAGACATCAACAACAGCAGAATCAATTGCAGCAACAGAATCAATTAGAACAACAGCAACAGATGGATGTGGATGTGAAGGGATATAATCAACAAAGCTAACTGCCCGCAGCTAATTTGTAAAAAGAATCAAATTAATGTTATACATATTAATAATAAAAAAGTTAAATTAATTAAAATTTATTAACTATAAAAATACAAAATGATTAACAATAAATAATTAAGTTATAATTGATTATATTTTTTGTGACTTGTTTTATGACTAATTGGTAATAAGGTAAATCTTGAACATTGTGGTGCGATTGGTAAAATATTATGAAAATCTTGTAATGATACGCCTTTGCGTCGCCTTGATTTTCAACAAGCAGCGGATTAGTATATATTTGATAAATAATTACAAACAATATATATAAGTGCTACTTACATGTCTGTAACTTTAGGATTGAGTTGAAATAATAATCCCAGCATGATTGAACTTCTTGTATAATGTCTTTCAATATTCTTATTCAGGTAAGATTCAAATATTGCTAAATCAATTGGATCAATCTAAACAAAAATGGATAAATAAATCTTGAATAAATTTTAATCATCAATCTATGCATATTTAGTATATAATAATACCTTTTGTTTGATATTTTTTAAGATATAGCCAACAATTTCTTCTTTTTCTTTAAATAGTTTATTATAATTAATATTTTCATCATCTTCGCTTTCTTGTTGAACAAGGGCCCAACATCCTTCAAATACTTTAATCAAAAATTTTACATCATACAATAATTGAATTGCTCCTTTTTCAGATAGATTTGAAAAGCTTTCTGAATTTACTATAAATGATTTATATTGATGAAAGATCTTTATGGACAAATTCGTAAAAAGTTCCTTAATTATGTCCTATAATAATTATAACAACAATAAATTATTAAATTACATTACTATTTGCATTTTTTTTTCCTGTAAAAAAAAAAAATACTTACTTCATGTAAAGTTGAACTACCAACTTTATATAAATCTTGACAAACATTAAATAAACAATTCATTAAATCTGTAGATGGCTGTGATGGTAATCTTATTTTTTCAGTAAATTCATTTATTGATGATGACGATGATGTTTCATTTTGTAAAGAAATTTCTAAAATAAATAAATAAAATTTTAAATATTTACTTTTATAAAAAATAAAATAAAAGTAAAAGTGGTGATGATGATGATAGCAATTTACCTTCCCAGACTAAAGTTTGTACATTTAATTCGTTCCATGGAGTTTCAAATAACATCCTTGAAATTTTTTTTTGAGAATTTTGTAATACCCATAAAATCCATGGTTTATATGCCAGGAAATAAACACCCATTAATAAATTACGTAAATCCATTAAACGTTGATCTAAATATGTATATATATATATATAAATGATAAGTATTTATCTTAAATGACAATAATAATAATAATTATCATTATGATAAATATTTATTATACCTTCAGTTAAAAAGTCGTTATTATTGAAATAATCTAATTTTTCATTGGTATGTATAGGTTGTAAAATCGTGTAAAGTTCATTAGAGTCATAAGCAATCGTTTGGGCAATCCGACCAATAAGTAATCTTTTGGCTAACAATAAAAGTGTCAATATCAATATTAACGATAACAATAGTAATAATAATCAATAATATTTTTTTAGACAAAAATATGTTGATTATACCATTATTTCTAGTAAAAACATCATACTCTTGATGTTCTTCAAAAGGAACCAATTCCTGTAATAAATTATAAAGTTGATTGCGGTAAGAAGTAACAGAATTTATAAAATTTTCTTGCAAAAACTTCAATAAATCCTCCGTATCACTAAATACAAATAATATAAATATAAATATAAACAAGCACTTGATTTTAAATTAACACATACACAACTACAATATATCTATTGAACTTATATATATATGATACCTTAAAGAATGAAACAGGTTCTTTTCATTATAATCCTCTGAAAATAAATCAAGCTGATTTTTTTTCAAAAGTAAGAAAACTGGCTCTAAATCCTCTCGGATATTTTTTAATATTTTGTCAAATGCTATTTTAGCATCATTAACATAACTAGTTTGACCAGATGCAAAACGTTCTATATAATTTTTGAATTTTGTTGCGGTGTTTTGGTTGATTTCCTGTTTAAGTAATGTGGGAACTTTGGTCCAAATAAAATTTCCTAAATGACAATCTAAAAAAATGATTGAAAAAAAATTTTGCCTGATAAATTTGATAAATTAAATAAAGCAAATAACAGTAACAATAAATATAACAGTAGTGGGGAGCTTTATTAATAAAACCAATTTAAATTACCTTCATTATCTGAATTATCTAAATACGGCAATTTATCTTTTAATAACTTTTCTGGTTGTTCAGAAAGTTCCAAAAAAGAGGTTTGTATTATATTTTGAAATCTATTGTTAAAACTTTGTCTTAACAAATCATTCCAGATAGAAAAATATTTTCCAAAAACTATATTGCAAGCCTAAATGATTTAAAAACCATATACATACATAAATATAAATATATATATATATATATAATAGGGTTTAAATAATAATAATATAAGAAAAACAATTTTTTAAATGATATTAAAGATGATGTACTAGTTAAGGGATACGTTACAATATTCCAAGAACGATTTATTTTTTGGAGATTTAACACAAACCCTAGACTTGTTCTATGAGCTCTACTACTGTGAGTTTTTTTAGTTGACGATTGATTATCTAATTTAGTAATTTCATCATCTTTTAATAATCCCCAAATATGATTTCGTAATTCGTTTAATTCTTTGGCACTTGAAACATTATCCAAAATAAAAATAAGTTTATATTGAAAATTTTCTATTATATGATCCAACCAAATATTTATCTTATTCTTAATATCATCTTGTGAGAATTGACCTTTTTGTCCAGTTAGAAGCAAAGATGGAGTAAAAGTTTGAATCGATTCAGGAAGGTAACGCAATAAAAGATGAATGTTGGTTGATGGAGAATATAGTCTCGTAAGAGACATTTTAGAATCTCTAGGCGAAACCATAGAAACTGGTGATTGAATAGTAGTGGATTCATTATAAATTGTAAAGCCTTTTTGTAATTGTTCAAGATAAGATTCAAATAATGATTTATCATCGTAATTGTTTTGAATAAAAACCATTCCAATAGAATATACAGTGTTTTTAATTACATTAATCATCTCTTTGAATTGTTGCACTAATACTTTTAAATTTTTTGTAGACGAATTTTCAAGTATTTCCATTAAAACAAAAGTTCTTCTATCAAGAAACATATGAAATACATCTTTTTTTGTTATATCGTCCAACAACATAATTGCACATAAAGTCTCCGCTAAACTCTTTTTAAAATAATTTGATAAATAAATAAAATAAAATAAAATAAAATAAAATAAATAAGATTTGAAAAGTTTTTTTTTAAAAACCTGTTCAGTTTGATTTATGGCTTTTAGATATTGTGTTGCTTTTTGAAGAATTTGTGATTTAAAATGACTGACTGCATCCCATTGGCGTTGAACCACAGGAAATGTTACCTTAAATAAAATCAATAAAGATTTAATTTAAAAAATTTTTTTTTAAATTACAATCAAAAAATTTAATTATACCGAAATATTAAAAGGAACATCATCATTTTGAACTTGAAGATTTTTATAAACTAATCTGGCAATAAGATATAAACGGCTAGCATTTAAATATTTGTGATTTTCCAGTGAACGCCAAATCTATATCAATATTTTGATAATAATTACCATTAAATTTTTAAACAAAAAAAATTTTTTTTTCTTTTATGTAATTACATACTTGCTCAGGTACATCCACGAGTAGCTTTATTTGTGCAGCTGCAGTATAATGATAATGCTTTTTTCCATCTTTTAAAAATAAAAAATATAAATAGGCATATACTAACAAGATAACGCCACATAAATATTATAAAAAGAAAATCAACACTGACCAACCTTTAATTCCTTTTTTACCCTCATCAATCTGGGATCTAACAGATCTTTTTAAAGTGTCGACATCACAAGAATCTTGCATATTTATTAATTCTTGTTGAATTGATATGGCACAATGACGCATGTTTACGATACTATCAGCCGCATCAATTAAATCACGGTACCTTTCACTAAAGAAAATAAATTAAAATTAATTAGTTGGGATTAATTAAACTAACAAATGAATTTCTTTAAATATTAAATCATAATAAGAGTTCTCACCCAACCATTTGTCTTAATTCTTGTTTCATTTTTTCAACATCAGATCTATTTAAAACATAAAGATATTTCAACACAAACCAATTGACGTCAAATAAGTATTTACAATCGGTGCTCGATATAGGAAGAATTGGTTTTTGACAAAAAAACCATATCATTATATAATATTGTATCATACGATTCATTATGTAGTGGGTTCACTATATTGTGCACCGACTGTATAATAATTCAAAAAAGGTACCTAGTTTTTTGTTCTAAAGCTCTTACTTCAGGAATTGTATATTTTACAAATAGATCATCTGGATTTAAAGTCGAATCGTTGATTGGAGTTTTAGTAGACATTTTTTAAAGAATCGACAAAAAAAAAATTCAAATGGATACTATTTGTAGTGCAGATCTTTAGCATGTTAGTCGTAGTCACGTGCTTGAAAACGTACCTGAGTAACAAAGTTTATGCGGGTATATTAATAAATGACCTCGTAGGATCAGCCCTTAAACCATAAAAAATGGGTGTTACTATTCTTTGGGTCATTGTTTTTTCCACTTCTAATTCTATCAAAAACTTGACAAAAACATCCCCAGCTGGTTAAAATGTTACCTAAGTATGATTTTTGTATCAAAGATACATTAAAACCGCAGTGGAAAGAGCGCTTTTACACTTTGATTTAAAATTTTATCAGATAAAGTAAAATTGTACACATAGAGGAACAACTTGTAGAGCTTGTATAAAAGCTAATATTGGAAAGCCAATGAGTAGGATAATTGATGCCATCTGAAAAGTTCACTAGTTGAATTTTTTTAATAGCAATCATTTCTAATACTAGTCTTTAGGGTTTGTTGGTATAATAGGATATATCTTCTTTTAAAAACCATATTTTATGATGTAATGTTCAACGTTTTCATTTTCTAAACATACTAGACAAATTGGATACTATGGTAGAGTCAAAAAATGTTCTACCATGAGGTGTTCTTTATACAGAGGTCTATTTAAAGAATATTATAACACGTTATATGCTGTCACTACAGAGAGGTTTTATTTGTCTCGTAACAAATTATATAATGTTCCTATTGTTCAACTTATTGACTAATATTAAAGATATTTTGTTGTCTGACATTAGCATTTCTTGTTTCTAAGCTCGTCTGTCATTGACAGAAAAAATAATACGTCTTATATTTTTATTCTTTAAAAAAATCGTTCTGGTTGTCAATAGCAAATTTTAAAAAAGAAAAAATGGGTAAAGAAGCTATTGCATATAAATTCTGGCATGAATTTCAGGAAGAAAGATCTGGTAAAATATGTCTAAAAAAAAGTATTATTATTATTTGATATTATTTGACATTCCAAGAAATTCAAAAATCTATCAATGAATTGAATGAATTATCGAAGACCAAAGCAATCAATTCCTACATTATGTGAAAATTTGCTACAATGGATAAATGAACTTGAAAAGAAAACTACAGATGCAACTAAATTTTTACCAGCTTATGATCAAAGACAATCTAATTTGGTAAATAAAAAGACCTATTATCAATTATCGCATTAAAATCATTATTTCATTTCAAATCAGCAAATCAAGTCATTAGTAGAAGAACTCAACAAACAGAAGTCTTTATTGGCACCAAAAAGTAAATTTTCTTTTAAGTCAAAAAAACAGCAATAGAATCAAAGAGTTCTTTAAATGAAGAAAAATCAGTATCCACTACTGCCACCTCTACTGATACTGCTGCGGTTTCTAAAGTTATTGATGAAGACAATTTTCAAACTGTTGTATTAAATAATTAAGAAAATACTTGCATTGATATTAATTCATTTTCACTAAATAATAAAATTGTTGATTTCCAATTTAAATAATTATATTATAAACCTCTTGAATTCTAATATAACGGTTAGTGCCATCAATAATATTAAAGGATTAAGAAATACTGTTATAATGTCAAGTCCAGTTGGAAGTTCAATATTAATTTATGATTATGAAAAATGTGTTTTTTTAGCTGGATGTCATCAGGTAATAATAACAATAGTATTAATAAGAAGAGCATTATATTATTATCACTATTAAGTTAATATTTAATTAGTTTTGTATGCACACATCAAAGCAAATTTCAGTATATCTTCATCATCTGATAATTGAAGATTGTGAACATTCATTTTGGATTATATGCATTAACAACATTTCCTGAACTAGATAAAATGTTTGAGGTAAATAAATGTTATATATATACATATTTAATTATATATAATTAATTAGATTTATTTATTTAAAATCAGTCTTCTTCCTTCCCCCCTTTTTCTTAGATGGTAAAATTAGATTTGAAAATTAATAAATATGATAAAGTCAATGATTTTAATTGGTTGAAACAACAAGCTTCATCAAATTCGAAAATCTTTTCACCAGAAAATATATATAATGGCCTTTAGTTTTAATAGTGATAACAATATAAATATTGTAGAGACTATCAAAAATCTCAAGGATATTAAATCAAAGATTATTTAGTATTGTTGCTGCTATTGTTATTATTATCTTATAAAAAAAATGATCATCTTTTGAAATTAAAAATTTCGTTATTATTGTATAAAGGCATCACTATCAGTCAGTAGATATTCAGTACTGTACTCTTTTGAATTCCTGTACTATATGAACTGCAAATTGATATTTCTGTACTAATTTTTAAATAGTACAAGTGCAGTATTCAAAATTTGATTGGTAGGGGTATTGTGTATTATATGATTTTTCAATTTTGTAGATATACAGTACAGGAATGCAAAATGGACAGTACTGAAGTCTGTATTCTCCATCACTATGATTTTGAGAATTAACCATCATAATCTAATTATGACTCTTCAAGTCATCCATCAATTGATCGGTTCTTATTTATCACCACAACTTATTTTCTTTTAATCTTTATGATTATCATTAACTCATTAATTTAGATATACAGAAAAGAGAAAAAAAGTTCTAATAATAATAAATGAATGATAATTAGGGATGTTAATCGATTATACAAAAATCGATTTTTCCGCAATCGATTATAAAATCGATTGTGTGTCCCACAATTGATTAAAAGTGATCGACAAAATTTTACAATCGATTGTAAATCGATTATCGATTTAATCGAAAAAATCGAAAAAAAATCAAGTGTTAAATAAATAAATTAACAGTAGTAATGATAATAATAATAGCAATAGTGATAATAGTATAG